GCGTTGGTCAGTTTCTAGTTCATTTACATACTCTATTATATTTTGGATTTGTAGAAGTGTCGTCTGTCGCAAAGTGTTGAATGTTATAGTAATAGGTGGTATAACAGTAACGCGCATAGCCATTTACCATATTTCCATTTTCCACTAAGTAGTGTTCGTAATATTATCGGCAAACAGCGCGCGCGGCCAACTANTATTATATTTTGGATTTGTAGAAGTGTCGTCTGTCGCAAAGTGTTGAATGATATAGTAATAGGTGGTATAACAGTAACGCGCATAGCCATTTACCATATTTCCATGGCAGTCAGCCAGCCAACCAGCCAAGTCATTTTCAAGCTATAAAGCTTTGCATTGAAAAATTTGCTGGCGCAACGATTTACGTGCCTTGTGGCCGCTGCGTTTTCACAACTTCATCGACGGCAGTTGTATTCGTCTTTCATTCTCCAACTTTGCAAACAGGTTGGCTGGAAAGTTCGGGTATTTTTATTTCTTTGTGTTTATCATTTATTAATAAGACTATGTTTTTGTATTACATTGTTGAAGCAATACCGGTGCTGCTGGTGGTGCTCTTGCTACTCTTGCTGCTGGGCGCTGTTATACAGCAGCGCCAAGGTAACAACCACACGCGCCGAAGAAAGCGAAAGCGGGTCAGCGCGCTTAACTTGTACCAGTATGTAAGTAGTTGCAGAAGACTGGAAAAATGTTGCAGCAGTAAGCTCGGGTTCAGATCGGTGTAAACCAGCTGCTGGTGCTGCTACGGCTGCTACGGCGGTTGCCGCTGCCATCCCAAGTGCTTTGCGAACTCCTGCATACCTGCTTCTATTTTTGTTTACATCCTTTTTTAAGGTGCTTGTCTAGTCCGCTTTGAACAAGCTCTGGAACGCGTGCTACTTTCCGTGCTGACTGACCACATCACAAATGTTACGTCAGCTTTAAGTAACATCAACTCCAAAATAGCGCAATTACTACGCTCAATGGTCGGTCGTTCAGCAACGGTAAGCGTTAACGTAATGTCACACCTGTTGGTCCGTATGAAGCGCCGACTTCGACTCTCTTGCATATACATACATACATACATTCATATCTGGAGATTGTTAACCTATTGTTAACTTGAGGCATGCGGACAGACAGCTAGACGACGCATCACCAACAACAACGTCATTGGTCTATTAATGCTATCGCCACCGTGGAAGGGTCGTCATCGAATAGCTCATTCGCTCGCAACGAGTGTATTCTTCATCATCGTCATCAGCATTTCTTTTATTTTGTCTAGTCTAAATCTTCTATGGACACCGTCGTCTGCGTCGTCTCGGTCTATAACAAAATCTCTCAATTGACTGACTTTGTTTACACTTTTCATCATCTCTAGCGACAGTCTTATTTCAATCGCTTTCGGACGCGGACTCGTTGCCGCATTTCCATTGCCGCGCGACGTTAACCATTTGCCGTGCGCGCTCTTCATTTTGCCTTACATTTGTGGTATTTGGGACAGCAGAAATTGTTCGTTTTTTTTTCGTCTTCTTTGGCGTCACTGGAATTTACAGTGTTTAAGGCGCGTGTGCTTGCAATATTGCATTACTCATTTCGGTTTTATTTTTGCACAATCGTCGTTACTTATCAGTACGATTTTATTTATATGCGAATTGAGCAATTTTTATAGCGAGCGATAGATAGTGCATCATCGAATACGAATACGAATACTAGGAACACAAATTGAGGTACATACCTACATACATATGTATATGTTTAAAATTGTTATCGCATGTTTTGCTCATCGTGAGTCATCGAATTGGCCATTATCTGGTCGGCACAGCTTATTCCCATTCTAGCCTTCGTGTGTCTTTTTTTCAAACTTTAGCCTATCATAATTGTTCGTCATAAAGTGATAAGCCTTAGATCATAAATAATTTATGTGTACTTTTTAAGGGTTTGAGAAACCTTTGCTTATCAATTCACGTGAAAAGTAAAATTATTAAAAAATTGCGGCTTTGACAAAGTACAAAAGGTATAAAGTTTTCAATAAAAAAGGTTTGCAAAAATTAAAAAAAAAACATAAATAAATTAAAATATGTAGAAGTTTGAAATAAAGACTTTTAAATTAGAACAATTATAATAAAACCTGAAAATAAAAATCCTAAAAGAATTAATCAAATAAATCAAAAAATAAACTACGAACATTTTTAAATAAAATTCTAAAAAAAAGTTTGAAATAAAAACAAAAAAAACGAATAAAAAAAATTAAATAAAGTATAAGACACAAAAATTAATGTAAAACAAAGGAAAACTAAAAACTCAAAACAAAATTAAGCGCACCAAACATATCAATCACAAAAATATTTCAAAAACGAGAATACAAATAAAGTTAGATATACTTTTGTAAATAAAAAAAAAAAACAACGAAAAACAAAACCGACTTCAATTCTCATATAAAATTTTTTGGTTACCGTTAATTTCTTCATGATCCAATGATCGGACCTAAACTAGAGGTGGCAGATATATGCGTATCTGTGACTTTGTTATGGTTACTCAAAAGTCACGGGTAAAAGCGCAGTTACCCACGGACGTAAAAACACAGAACGTGTCGGCTGACACTATCTATCTTATGGGATCTGCGTGTTAATAAAAACTCACCACCGCATGATCGTCACGTAGACGTTACTTCTCTCTCTTTCTATTAACAGCACACTTGATATCTTTCTACGCTGTGTCCGCCGTTCGCCGGCATTGTATTTAAGCTATATAGCTTGCACTTTATTGAAAATCTTAATGGGACCGTTTTTTGAAATTCGCTAAATTTTCGTGAATTTTCCACAAAATTTGCAACATTGTTTTATATATGGTTTTTTTTTATACTTCTCGTTCTTAAATTCTACTTTTAAACGTAATTTTGAAAATTTTAAAAGTAAAGAATGCAAAATTTACCTCAGTAGGACTTTGTATTTGTAAAATACTGACTACTTTAGAAAATTGTAAATTTTTTTAATATTTTTTTTTGGTAATCTTTTGAAGCTATAGAATAAAATAAGAAGCAGCAGGACTCTTTTAAAAAACAAAGTAAAAAACGTTGTTTTATTTAAAGACTTCAAACCCGGTGGGCTGTTTGACCAAATTATGTCTGCTCACATTCTGCCGATTGCAACTTGCCTGTAGTTTACTGTGAAATTTTATTGCGAAGAGATTTAGTTGGGTTTCGAGGGCTTTGGAGGTAACCAGAGGGTAGCGCTTCTTACATGACACTCTTTGTACATTTTTAAGTTTTGCCCTTGTCGTGGTTTTCTCGTAAGTATGTCCAGCAGATGGAGACGCCGTTAGACTTTAATTGGGCAAACTAACGCTGTATTTAGGGCAGTGGAGAACTTGCTGAAATTTTCTTCCGCATTACGACCTCCAATGAATCCTCCGCGTGAGCCCATTTAGCGGAGGAAGCTGGAGTTGTGGATTTATTTTTTTTTTTGATTCGTGAAGATAACCATAACTCTCCTTCGCATGGATCTCTCCAAAACTTATGTGCGTAGATCAAATTGTATAAGTTCGTTTATTGACCGTGATTGCCTACGTAAGTTAAGGCACGGTCGCCAACATTAGGCTTTGTGTTTATTGCTAATCTCCATGGGAGTGGGGACTGGAGCTCGCCTTTTGGTGTGCCTTTGTTAGTGTATTTAACGACAGAAACTCCGCCCATCTTCGCTCAAAGAGTCCTTATACTGAGCAGAAAGTGGATCAAATCAACCATAGATACTTAGGGCCTTTCCTATAGCCTATAGTTTTAGCTTCCGACGAATACTGGAACAACAGCCAGGTTAATGCAAGCCCTATAAATATTTGTTAAAAGAACTGTGGAACTGAACGCTCTAACCGTTTTTGGTAATCAAATTTTCTGGTTACAAAATCATCGGTGCAGAAAAAATCTGGAAGAAACAAATTTTCCCTTAAATCCGCCCATGCTTCTATTTTTGCTCCCCACTGTGCAATCGTTCACCTGCTTAATTAATAAATGTCACANTGCTATGCAAATGACCTTTGGAATTGTTAAACGCTGCGTCGGATTAGATAACAAGTTCAAATATTCAAAGTTATTGCATTAAAAATGTTTGTAAATTTGTCTGCCAGTCTTCCCAATCAAACGCTTTTGATCGATGAAGATCATTCAAACGTTGTATGTAGTATGTATGTATATGATTTTATTGTGCCATGCGCATACAAGTATATCATCTGACAAGCGACTAACTTATTAGCTCTAACGTCGACGTCGTCGTCGTCGTTGTTTGCCAGTGGGAGAGCGTGCGGGCGCAAATACGCATGCCTCCACGATCGTACGCCCCCTTATTAACTGGTTGACTAGCTCACGTTCCACAAAACCATATTTCGCCGGTGGCAGCGTTCGGACTTTGCTTCGATCGGAGTAGATTTGCTCGGATCGGAGTAGATTTACTCCGATTTCTTTTTTAATGATGAATCTCATTAAAAATAAATACATGTAGGAACAAGCTTAAGGTCGATACAATTGGAAGCTTAATGTTCGCAACTCTTATTAACCAACGGTCAAAAGTTTATACGCAGTCTGATAATTTCCTTTTTTTTATATTATAAATTTTCCTGATGGAAAGTTTATTTTGAATACTATTTAGAGATTAAGCTGATTTACAAGCACTCCGTGCCAATGCTTTACAATTACAATGTAAATACAATGGGACGTATGAATAAAACTGAATCAAATGCTTACGGCCCAATGATGTGATGAATTGAATAACTACCTGTAATATACATATATACATATATATACTGATATACATATATGTACATATATGAATGCAAATAATGCGTTGGTATAAAAAAAATTGTTGAACTGAAAAAGTACCCGTACAAATTTTTCTTTATACTATTTGCCCCCCTATTCTAACAAAGTCACCAGATTCAGTGCATCACTATTGCGATTTATCGAATAGGGGCTAATCAATATATGTTAATCTGCTCCGAAAATTTAATTTTTACTCCGATTTTTCGAGTCATTTACTCCCCAATCGAGTTTCACTAGTCCGAACGCTGGCCGGTGACTATGGCACCGCGCGCCAGAATTCCCTCTCAGATCGCCTAGCTTTTCCATATGGATTTGCTTTGGCTCTCTTTTATGTCGTTTCTTGCGGTTTTCAAATTTCAGTCAGCGATCTACTGTCTTGGGCTTCGGACGCGTATCGTCGTTTTTGTCGTTGAATACTATCTGCATACTATAAATATCGTAACTGCCTATATAATTTATCGTTCGTTACAAAAAAAAAACCCAAAAAGCGTCTCGTCTTATCTTTGTTGTCAAAAGTGTCGTCATCAGTTTTTATTGGTATTTAGCTGTTCGTGCTTTTAGCTCTCCTCCTTAACACAACAGAGTTTATTTAGTGCGGTTTGGTGTAATTTGTGCTGATTTGGAAGCTGGAAGCGAGTGTCTGCACCGTGGTGTGGTGTGGTGCTGTGTGCCTTAGCGTGATTCGCGTAATTATTGTGCAACATTCAATTGGCGGCGTTGCGGCAACTAAACACCTGATACGCTTGAAATTGTAAGCAGCAGACAAATATTTACAAGTGCTAAAATTGGTTACGTTTCAGCGCGGCGTAACGTGTTTTCTTAGAGCGCCTTGTTGTGTTGGTTTTTTGTCGGCTATTTAAGTGCGTCAAGAAGTTGCCTTAATTGGCTACGCAGCGGATGAAATATACTAGATATCTTTTAGGGGTTTGTGGTTTCTTAATTTTGTGTTTACAAAAGACATTTGTACACATTTACTTATTTGTATTTATGTACAGTAGAACAGGCACAAAAAACATACTGCAATGCGACCGGCCAGATTCTTTAAATTCCTGAATTATCCTTTTCTAATCGTATGCCCTATTTTAGTGAAATGTAGTAATTACCAAAAAGAAAAATGAATTTAAAGAATATGAGCCTGTATAACAGTTAAGTGGCATGTAATCAATGTATTCTTGTAGTTACGAACGTTTTGACGGATCCTAGAAAATTATATTGACCTCAAAAGAAGGACAACTCGTTTTATTACGTGCTACTCCTATAAAAAAATAAAAGTCTCGATGCACGGCCTCTTAGAATTACCGGAGAGGGGAGATTCATGGAGGATTGCAGCACTTTTTTATGTGGTCTAATGTGGAGTGATGTAGCAGCCACATTTCAAACTGATATTGCTTACCACTCATATTTATTTATTTTTAAGAATTTTCATTTAATAAAGCGTACATTCTTTAAAAAAATCATATAAACCAAAGTTTAAAACCTTATAGAAAACTTAAAAAAAAAATATGGAACAAGTAATTTTTAAGCAAAAAACAAAGCCGACTTCAAATTTCATATAAAAATTTAGGAGCACCGTTAATTTTTTCATGATCCAATGATCGGATCTAAAGCAGATTAGTATGGGATCACATCTGAGAGGCCACCTTTCCGATGCAAATTCAAAATCGGTTGACGTGGTCCAAAGTTATGCGGTAACATACATAAAAAAAGTATATTCCGACGAATTGATAACCGCCTCCTTTTTTGAAGTCGGTTAAAAAGAAGGTCGGACTTTTAATGCCGGATTGTTCTATTCCGAAAAAATGTACAACCAATTTTTTTATTTTGAAATCGAAAAATAGGAGTGCTCACAGCGCTCTAAATTTTCCATGTATTTTATATGCGAAAAAACAACTTTTCGTACACAGTCGAAAAATATTGATTTGAAGAAGTTTATACCATTTCTACGGAAAGTTCTTTTTTGCCCACGTACTTAATGGATAATAAAATATAGCGATATTTCCTAGGGGCTGGCGGCATTGAAATTCCGACTGTATTGTTTTTTGGCCCACCGATTTGGGTAAAATATAGTACATAGTTGCGATTTTTGGACTTAAACCTGTAGATTTGTCAAAAAGCAGGATATCTCTTACAGAAGAGAGAGCGCAACAACTAGTGAAGAACTGAGAAAAACTGCTCGAACGCTGAAAACCATTTTTCCTGCAAGTATATACATACATAAATGTTGGATGTTTGTTTACTGAAAAGATTTGGGGTTATTTTAGTGCAATTGGCAAATTAGATTTTTTTTTCAATGAAAAAATAAAAAATTGCCCGCTACTTTTTTATAAACAATTGAATATAACAAAAAAAAACGTGTAGCCCATCAATTTTTTATTAATAATTAAGTGCAAGTTCGAAGTAGCTGGGACTTACCGTGTATTTTTTGGCAATTTTTAATTTTTTTTGTTGACTGTCAGTCAATTACTTCCATACGAAATAAATATGTATGTTCGACGATTTTATGTGAAAGAAAATGAGCGGCAATTCGAACAAAATAAATTGCCAAAAATCCAGGTTAGTCCTATTTACTTCAAATTGCCAAAATATTTCATATCAAATTTAATATTTACGCGAGTTGAAAATATGTGCCTCTGAAAATTTCATCATTTGGTGCCCTTAATAAAATTTTTAAACATTTTAATGCAGACCTTTCGAGCTTAATAATCCCTTCTATGCTCTGAGGCGATTTTTAGAAAAATATTTTCAAAAAGTAATTTTTTTGTAAAAAAACCTTATTTTTGAATGTACATATTTTCAAATAGGTCCAGCTCACATAAATCTTAGTATTTAGATTTCCTAATGTACATACATAAATTATTTGTTTCATTGTTTAAATGCTATTACATATAATACTTCTTTCTTCTGTTTTCGCTAAATATTTTGTCACGGTTCCTGATTTTTTTTTTCCGTAAAAAATTTGAATTTACGAAATGCAAAGGTGAAAGGGTGCCAAGTCCACTTTTTTTAGGTTAGTTCTAGTTGCCGAATGACAGATAATGCGAATCTACATCGAATTAACTGTCATCGGTGATATTAATGCTGGCCTTGTATAACGCATGACGTAAGAATTTACTGTTAAATTACAAAGTCAAAATTAACATCAGTGAAGAAAGGTAAGTCCCAGATGGGTTCCAACATCCCAAAGTAATTTTTGTGAAAATTGCTGATGGAGGGTATTGAATATAAGCCCTCGATTTGTACTGAAACCACGTACTTACATTTCCTGGGTACTTGCAGTGACCTGCAAAAAAATTGCATACATTTGCAAAGACGGAAGTACAATGGCACCTGGCAGCAGCTACTGCTGTCACTGCAATTTGAAAAATAAGAGAAGCATTGCAATGCGCAGGGCGCGCAGGTTTGTTTCCTCAAGCTGCTTGGTGACGTGACGTGCCGCGTCGCTGGCGGACCTTAACAAAATGACGATGTCAAATGCGCTTCACGCCATGGAGCGTTGAGAAAAGCTATACTAAAAAAAAAACAAATGCAAACAATGTTGGTAGGCAACGTTTACAAAATATTTACCCTCAGTAAAGGTGCAGCCATATACAACACATGGCTGTCGCCGCGCCGACAGCAGTAATATTTGTATGCGCGCTGACTCTGCCTACTCTCATTATGTAATTTGCCTCGCGCTAGCATGCGGTGGTTGCGCATGCGCACACCAACCGTTGAATGGACTGAGTGACTGACTGCTTGCTGCATGTTTACCTTGACAAAATGTTTTGTTAGCGCATTCGCCTTTGATTTTTTTTTTTGCTTCGTTTTTGTTAGATGATTTTTGGTGTGCTCTGTTGATGTTTAAGCAACGTCAACAAGTCACCAAGTGTAGGCCAAAAATATGAAATAACGCTAAACGCCTACGACGAGCTATCTGTCTTAATTTCGTTTTTTTTTCACTTTCTGTTTTGTAATTTTGTTGGCTGCATACCCCCCAGCATCATTTGATGAACTCATAAGATGACTATGTGATGACTTATTTTACCGTTTTGTGTTGTTTTTTTTGCCCTGTAAATTGTGGTAGTCCATTCATAAGCGCTAATGTTTGGCTGCAATTGCGAGGCCAACGACTGTTAGTGCTACTGACCTGCTAAGTAATAGCGAGTCGCTTGATCACAGCTTAAAAGTTTGCTACTAAGCTGTAGCAGCTATGGCAGCTTCAACCAAAAAATAAAAAATAAAAAATATTTTATGTGCGATATTTTTTTATTTTGGTTTTTGATTTTTATTTTCATTTTATCTCGTTCATGACATTCAAAATTTTCAAAGGCGCGCGCATTGTGACAACGGTAAAACTTGCTGTGTAAGTCGCAATTGCAACAACCAATAGCAGCAACAGCACTAACAGCAACAAATAGTTTCACTCAACTGCAACGCTTGCAAACCAAATGCAACAGTTACTACAACCGTGACCTTCCTTAGCGCAAAGTGTCTCGTATCTCATATAAGCGTTTACATTGCGCACGCATATCAGCGTACAAGTGCAACGTCAACATTGCGTCTTGGAATGCAACAACTACAGTTTTCGTGCATTTTTTTTTTATTTAAATATTTTTATTTTTTTTTGCTACATACTTGTTTCAACATTTTTTTCCGCTTGCCATTCAATTCTGTTGCTTGACGCAACACTTATGCTTTGCTTGTATAACGGTGTGCTGCATAGTTTTATTGAAGGTTACAAATAGCTGCTGAAAATAATTGCACTTCTCGTAATTATAAGTTTAATGTTGTTGCTTGCTATTGCTGTCGTTGTTTGACGGCATTTAGATAGTTCTGCTTAATCCTGTTTTTTTTTTTTATAATCAAATACATATTTATGTCTGTTGAGCTCATACGTCAATGCAACTAGTTTCATTAATGTCAATATGAAGCGAACCGGGAAATGCGACAGTATTTATCGTTATTCTTGTTGGTAGGAAATTCGGAAAAGTTAACTACTTACCGTTGGTGATATTGTAAAACTTTCTCTGTATACCCAAAGCGCTTACCAAAGAATCGAAGATTTTGCTGTGTATGTACATATACATATCCATACACATCATATGTGCATTGGGGCAGGTCAATTTTTATGAGACATTTTTTCGAAAATGAGCGTAAAGCGCAGAAGGATTTTACGTGTAATACTAAGCAAATTTGCGGAAGAAACCATGGGTCTAAAATTATGTATTACCCATGCTTCTACATCTACATCCAATTTTAAGTACATATATGTATACAGACAGCGTCAAAAATATGAATACCCTTTATTTATGCATATTTTCTATACCAATTTTTTTGTTGTTTTTTTAAATATGCCGTAAAAAGCGGCAGAAAAAATTTTTTCAATTTCATATGGAACTCGGGAAAACTCAAACAATTTTTATCAAAATTTTAAACTTTTCAATTCGATTTCTTAGAAAAAGTATGCAGTTATGTAGCCCATTTTTTTTTTGAGATTTTTTTGTCAAGGATGCTTCGCTATTTCTGCTATGCTATTTCTTCTATAAGAGCCATTCTTTTTTAAGTCGGGCGGATTTCGTAAAAAAAAAAAAAATATATCATGTCTCCGAGGATTTTTTTCCTTTGTTTTCTTCGCTGTCAAAGTTGCATTTTTTCATGATTCTGACTAATCATGCACTTCTTCAGATCGTTATATCACAGGTTCTGCTCATCGTAGAAATTTCATCTTAACGTCATTTTAAAGTTAAAAAAACGGGCTTAACATTTCTATATATAAAATGGTCAATATTGTTGAACCTTTTTGGAGTTGATTTGCATAGTTGAGACCAGTAAATTAGG